TAATCAACATGTTGGATTTTTTTCAGTTCAAATTTTATTGAACAATTCTTGACTAAGGTTTTGATGTTTTAAACCTCCATATATTCACAATATACAGGATTAAAACAGTATAGCATGGTGATCTGATCAACTATTAGAGGATAGTAGAACTAACTTAAAAATTCCCCAAGGAAATTTTGAAGATGCCTGCCACTTGGTGCGCATTCATGTGTCCATACTACGGTATTTGGACTGGCACCAAAGGCTTAATGGGGTTACTCGGGTTCACCTTACACTGGCATATATCACCATACCAGGTAGCAAATTGGTTCATAGTTGATGGCGACTGATGTCGTGACAGCTGGTGCTGGCTGATGTTGCAATACCTATTCATGGCTGGGGTAATGATAAAGATCCATATTCTGCAATAAATTGCTGAGTATATTATATAGGCTCTTATTTTGAAGAGGACCTGTTGTCTTATTCTGAAGGTCTCGTAGGTCTGTGTCTTTAGCATATGGTCAACCTTTGGAGAGATATAGAATCCATTTACAATAGTTAAATCTCTCTTTTTTTCTTCTTATTAGATTAGTCTATGCTTTATTTCAGAGGAAATGGGAGGGCTTTATTTAGAAAGGTGCACTCAGGTGTGTAGTGAAAAAGGCCTTGGTAGTCTAATTTCAAGAAACTGGTTGAGTTGGGGTTATAACAATGAGCCTCATGGTGCAGTTAATAAGTGTGTATGATGAAAAGGCTTTTATTTTGTAGAGTCACTGGTGTCTTATTTCGAAAAGGTTTGTGTTTTAGAATTAACTCTAAAGATTTAAACACAGTTTAATGTTCAAAGAATTAATTGCATTTTCAGACCATTTGTTTTGTAGATTCACTAAATATTCACTGCAAAGTTATCATGTTTAAATATGAAAAAAATCTATAATAAAGTAATTAAACATCAGAACTTTACTTGATTGAATAAAATGAAACAGAAACATTATTTCCTGCATTAGTTGTTTATAGTCCAGGTTCTGCAGCTGATGACACAGCAAAGCTCAAAGGACAGATATCTTGATATCAGATTAATAGGTTTATAAAAATTAATTTCTGGACATTTTGCATCTCAATTTGTCATGATGCCTCAAAGGATGTGACTCAGAATAAACTAAATATGGTTCATAAAGTAATAACTAATAACAGCAGTAGAAAATAGAAACATTTGCAGCTTCAGTCCAGTAATCTTCTGATTCTGTGACTAATAGATTTTCACTCTGGAGTGGTTTTAGTTTTCTAATGAATGTGAAGTGAAGCTCGTGGTCCTCTTCTGATCACTGAAGTGTTTGGATGTCTGACTGCTGAAGACGTCCTTGGATGAGGGAAGGGAAGTTCAGGCTCTGCTGGTTGAGCTGAAATCTCACAAGTCTGATAAATGACCCAAGATATTACCTGATGAGACAAAATAAAACATTGATTTCACTAAAATAATGTGATATCTGATTATCCTGAAAAACATACAAGAGTGTCAAGCAACTTAAGAGGCAATGCTTCAAGAAAAAAACCCCATAGAGAATCAAAGCAGGATATAATAATAAACTTGAAATAATAGCCTGTTTTATTCACCTCATTCCCATCATCGGCAGCTCGACTTGAAAACTGATGAGAAGTCTTATATTTCCTGTTTGATAAAAAGGAGAAAAACAAAAACAAAATAATTACTGGGTTTTATTTGGAGTATGCAAAGTTACTGATCTGATGAAGACAAATAATACTCACCAAAATATGGAAAAAATGAGAGCAATACAAACGATGAGAACAGCAGAGAGTCCAGCAGCTGCTGGTTTCCAGTTTGCTTTTCTTCTTTGGACAATCAGAGTCTTTCCAGCTGATCTGATGGTT